CCGCCGCCGCCGCAGTCGCCCGCCACGCGCGCTGGGGCGGGCTCCGCGCTAACGGCTTTCCAGAAGAGGGCGCGCGAGCGCTCCTCTCGCCGCCGTGTCCAAGATGGCTGCGGCGCTTCGCTGGCACTACAGCTCCCAGAAGGCCTCGCGCCGGGGGGGGGCACGGTAGGATTCTGTGGCGTGGCCTGCTGGGAGTTGTAGTCGCTCAGCCCGCTCTTGAGCCGGAGCTTGCAATTTTCAGACTGTCTAATTCTCGCGATCTCCGGGGGCGGAGGGCGACTGGTGCAGTTATCGCGAGATGACGATGGGAGGCGGGACACGTGTTTCCAAGGTGACGTGCTCCGCCACGGATGCTCCTCCTTTGCTGTGCCCGTGCGGCCCGCGTGTCTGCTCTGCGTCTTGGAGGCCTGAGGGCGCCAGCGCCTGGAGCTGCAGCAGAGTGTACGCCATGGGGAAGGCCAAGGCGGTCAGGGCGCGAAGGACGGCCTCGGGGGCGCGGGGAGCCCCGGCGAGGGTCTGCCCCAATCCTTTCGAGGTGAAAGTCAACAGGCAGAAGTTCCAGATCCTGGGCAGGAAGACACGCCACGACGTGGGGCTGCCCGGCGTGTCTCGCGCGCGGGCCATCAGGAAGGTAGGCGGGCCGCCCCCTCACGTTTTGAACTTAGGGTATCGCCCGCTGCCGGGATCGGGGCCCTGGCTGGTGCTGGCCGGCCTGGGGCCAGCTGCGTGCTTCCCTCTGCCTCTGTTTCCTCGCCTGCAAAATGGAGACTGTAGTAGTTAGACAGCACCGACTTTTAAAACTTCATGCCTCTCCTTTTCTATGAGCTGGAATGACTTTATCCTGGAAAGCGATTGTCCCTCCTTGAGACCCTGCACACACGGTTTGGAGACTTATCCAGCTGAGCTGCCATGATGTCCCGTACTTATTCTTACCCTTCCTCATTTAAACTTTGAGCCAGTACTGCCGATCGAGGGACCATGGACAGGGTTTACCTGGGGTACTTCAGAGATACTTGGAGGATGAGTGTGCCTCCCCCTAGGTACATCACCTTGTCCCTTGAGGGGTAACTGAAGTGGCATCTCTGTGGAAAGACACATTGCTTCCTCCGGTCTTTTGTTTATGGTCCAGTCCTGGAATATTATTTACCTGCTTTTCAAATTCAGTTCAGCAAATGGCATCCTGTATGCAACGTAGTAGACAATGTTCATTTAAAAAAAAAAAAGTATATTTATCATTACTGGGGAAGATATATTAGTAGGATGGTGGAGAAATGAAGACCCAGAAAGGACAAGTAAATTTCCTAAAGTCACACAACTGAGAAGGCTGGGGCATGCCTTCAGATCTCAATGTCTGCAAAGCCTTTGTGCTACACGGAGTGCTTACTTTTAAGCTGTGTTTTAGAATGGGACATAAAGATAAATAAGACCTGGCCTTTGCCTTCAGGAGGTCATACTGTCACCCAGTGTGCAATACAGATGACCTTTCGATTAAATCATCTATCATCCTTACTGCAAGGAGATGACAGCATGTACAATAGGCAACTTAAAATTGACTTTATTCCGGGCCCTAGAGCAGAGTGAAGAGTAGTATGGTCTCTAGAGCAGACACGTTCGCCTTCACCACTTAAACTTCTGTTTTCTTTCTTTCTTTTTTTTTTGAGACAGAGTCTCACTGTGTCACCCTGAGTAGAGTGCCATCACAACTCACAGCAACCTCTAACTCTTGGGCTTAAGCGATTCTCTTGCCTCAGACTCCCAAGTAGCTGGGACTACAGGCGCCTGCCACAGCACCCAGCTATTTTTTTGTTGCAGTTGTCATTGTTGTTCAGCTGGCCCTGGCCACGTTTGAACCCACCAGCCTTGGTGTACGTGGCTGACACCTTAACCACTGTGCTACAGGTACAAGCCATGCATCTTCTTTATTTTGCATTTCTAAAGGGGAAATAATATACATCCTATCTGTGATGGTGGTTTATGAGAATTAAATACTATTATCTGTTGACTGGCTAAAAACTAGACAGTGCTCTGTGAGCTGGTGCAAGAGCCATGAGTTGTTGGCCAAGATTTCCAGTTAAGACTTTTCTTTTTTGAAGACAATAGATGAGCTAATTTAAGGGGGTGAAGTAAGGAGAATGAAGGAGAGGGGAGGAGGGATGGGATGGGGTGGTGACAGTGTATGGCACACTTCTTGGGGGCGGGACACAATTATAAGAGGGACTTTATTATTATTATTTTTTAATATATATTTTTTGAGACAGAGTCTCACTATGCTGCCCTGGGTAGAATGCCATGGCGTCACAGCTTACAGGAACCTCAAACTCTTGGGCTTAAGCAATTCTCTTGTCTCAGCCTCCGTAGTAGCTGGGACCACAGGTGCCCGCCACAACACCCAGCTATTTTTTGTTTTTGTTGAAGTTGTTTAGCTGTTGTTTAGCAGGCCCAGGCTGGGCTCAAACCTGCCACCCTCGGTGTATGTGGTTGGCACCGCAACCACTGTGCTACGGATGCTGAGCCTGTACGGGGGACTTTATCTAACCAATGCAATCAGTGTAACCTAATTCTTTGTACCCTCAATGAATCCCAAACAATCAAAAAAAAATTTTTTTTTCTCTATCAATGTTTACTTGTTCTACTATGCTTCACATAGTCAACCAGTGATTTTGATACACAATTTGATGGATTTTTGAATGTTTTCCTCACTTCTACTCGGTACTGGCCACTCTGACCTCTCTTCATCAATGACACTTCCTCCTCAGAAAAATGTTTAAGCCATTTGTACACTGTGGTTTTCCTCATGGCATTATCCCCATCAACTTGCACTAACAGGTCTCTAATTTCACTTCCACTCTTGCCCAGTTTAACAATAAATTTAATGTTCATTCATTGCTATAATTTACGCACCAACATTCTCAGGACAGCACACAAAAACACAGCAATAATGAATGCTACTCAGCAAAACACTGCCACATTCCACATGAACACAGCTGTGAGACAGTTATGCACCAGTTATGAAACCTTACCAAGCTGTTGGTACAGTGCTGCAAACACAAGCTCATGGCAGCAAGTTCGAGAACTTAATTGTCAGACCTCATATTCTACTTTTCTAAATAAGTCCAGCCTAAAGTACTCACTTGATTAAACGAAGGCAGCTACTGCAGCTGAAGAACAGTTCACGTCTTTAGCTTGGCTAGTGTGCTTTTCGCTTTTCCTTTCTTTCAGCACTGACAGACTCTAAGTAGAGCAAAATAAAGTGATTACCCATTATCATTGAGAGTAAGTTGGTTTTCTCCTCAAAATTCTATCCCTAGTAGGGAATGTTTGTCATAGGTTAAAGCAGATTCTGTATGAACTTTGACATCACAGTGTATAGCTCTTAAACTTAAAATGTGCACCATTCGGCTCAGCACCTGTGGCTCAAGCGGCTAAGGCGCCAGCCACATACACCTAAGGTGGCGGGTTCGAATCCAGCCGGGGTCTGCCAAACCACAATGGCTGCAACCAAAAATAGCCGGGCGTTGTGGCAAGCGCCTGTGGTCCCAGCTACTTGGGAGGCTGAGGCAGGAGACTTCCTTGAGCTCAGGAGTTGGAGGTTGCTTTGAGCTTTGATGCTATGGCACTCTACCCAGTGGGGATAGCTTGAGGCTCTGTCTTAAAAAAAAAAAAATGTGCACCATTCAGTGTGCTGGCTGAGGCCTGTAATTCCAGCACTTTGAGAGGCCAATGTGGGAGGATCCCTTGAGGACAGGAATTTAAAACCAGCCTAAGTAAGAGCAAGACCCCTCACTACAAAATATAGAAAATTTAGCCGGGTGTAGTGGCACATGACTGTAGTTCCAGCTACTCACTTAAGCCCAGGAATTTGGGGTTGTAGTGAATTGTGATGACAGCATGGCTCTCTAGCCCATGGTCTCTAGCAGCAGAGTGAGACCATGCCTCTCAAAAAAAACACAAAAAACAAAAAACCACACACCGTTCTGATGTCCCCTTTGGAGGAAATTGCAAGAATTTTTTGTGAGATTGTTTTATGATCTGTTTTTCAGCGTACACAGACGTTACTAAAGGAGTACAGAGAAAGGGATAAGTCCAACGTATTTAGAGATAAACGCTTTGGGGAGTACAATAGCAACATAAGTCCAGAGGAAAAGATGATGAAGAGGTTTGCTCTGGAGCAACAGGTATGAAAAAAAATTGGAGGAGGGTGTTTGCTATACATTGTCCACAGAAGTCAAGCCCAAAGTGAGGCTGTTTCTCCCCTTCATTTACTTCCATGTCCATGGACACTTGCCCACAGGTGCAGTATGTATCCCCTGAATCCTTACTTTCCTGTACTTTGTCCTGCTAGGCCAGAGGGGAAGCACCTTCTGCAAATATGACTTGAGTGGATGAATATCTCAGCCAGCACATACTGGGGTTCTTGCCTGCTGCCTTCCCTTCTGTTGAGTGGAGAGCCTGTGGGCTGAGGGGCACAGCTGAGGGGTAACCCTGTGAGACTTACAGTAGCCTACCTGGACTGTTGACATATTGAAGAATTTCCTTCTGTGAGCTCTGTTCATGTCTCAGTCATTGCTCAGATGACTTAGAATACTCTGTAAGGCTGTGTAGGCCACATTGTCACATTCACATATGATGGAATAATAATTGTTTTTGCTATGAAATGAATATGGTAATTAGGGAAACTGGTTTTTTTTTTTTCTCTTCTGTCAGCGACATCACGAGAAAAAAAGCATCTACAACCTAAATGAAGATGAAGAACTGACTCATTATGGCCAATCCCTGGCAGACATTGAGCGACATAACGACATCGTGGACAGTGACAGTGATGCTGAGGATCGAGGGACGCTATCCGGTGAGGCTGGATTGGCTCACACGAGCCCAGGGCTGGAGCCAGGACAGTCTGCTCATTGTCAGACTTGCCCCTCTGGAAAAAGTTGTTGCATGAAAGTTTCACTGAGCAGTAACTTCTTGATAAATTCCACACGTGATAGGTTTTGGCTTGGCGGTGCCTGTGGTTCAGTGGGCAGGACACCGGCCCCATGTACTGAGGGTGGCAGGTTCAAACCCAGCCCTGGTCAAATTGCAACAAAAATATACCTGGGCTTTGTGGTGGGCGCCTGTACTCCCAGCTACTTGGGAGGCTGAGGCAAGAGAATCACCTAAGCCCAGGAGTTGGAGGTTGCTGTGAGCTGTGACGACACAGCACTCTACCGAGGGTGAAAAAGTAAGACTCTGTCTCTTAAAAAAAAAAAATTGAGAACTTGTGGATGCTTTTACAGGCTGAAAAAGCACATTAATATCCATTTTCTTATTTGAACCTCATAATAGCTTCTGTTACCTTATGAGCTCAGAGAAGGAAGGTAAAGTTTGTCCAATCCAAGAGCCAGATAAAGCCAACCACATCAGCACCCCCTAAGCAGCTCTTCTACACTGACCTGCTTTGTTACAGATTCTGACCTGTGTGGTTTCAGCGGGGTTTATGTAGTTCTGTCTTTATTAGGAAACTACTTGTGGCAGTTTTGTGAGGCAGATAATAATGAGCCTCATATCGGTGGGTAATGACGTGAAACAGGGAATTCTGGCTTTAGTGCATAAGGGCATCTTTGGCCTTATGTAGAGTTACATTGTATCATTAATTAGTTTACATTCTTTTAATGTAAACTTTAATGAGGAGGTCCCATTTTCCAGATATAAGCTACACAAAACAAAAATTGATCTTCAAAGTTTTTGTGGAGAGCTCAAGAATTCAAGCTCAGGACTAGCTTTTGGTATCTGGATGATCCAGGGTGGGGACAAAAGGTTTAGACCCAAGGCAGCTTGTGGTGCAGAGCCCACTGTTGGGTGACAGCACCAGGCCTGTGGCTACTGGGACTTCGTGCTTGTAAACAGGTAGCCAGTAATTTATCCTCCGTGCCTTTGTCTTTGCACTTTTCACGGCTTGAGACTTTTTGCACACTTTCAACTGTAAAGTGTCCTCACTTGGGGACCAGAATTCACGTGACTTGTTGGTGTCTGGTGAGCAGCATCATTCTCGTCACCAGTAGGACTGTGGTATTAGGTGACTGGAGGGAACAAGGGTTCTATTTCTGCCAGGTAACAGAATCCTGGGGATTCAGTGATTTATTTGAAATTTCCTATCCTTTGATTTTGATTATGAGCTCACAAAAACCTAGGTAGTTGATAAAACAAAAGCCTCTTACTTTTTTTTTTTTTTTGAGACAGAGTCTCAACTATGTCGCCCTTGGTAGAGTGTCATGGCATCATAGCTCACAGCAACCTCAAACTCTTGGGCTTAAACGATTTTCTTGCCTCAGCCTCCCAAGTAGGCGTTGTGACTACAGCCGCCCGCCACAACACCTATTTTTTTGTTGTTATTGTTGTCGTTGTTTGGCAGGCCTGGGCTGGGCTCAAACCCACCAGCTCCAGTGTATGTGGCTGGTGCCCTAGCTGCTGAGCTATAGGCACTGAGCCAGATTTTTTTTTTTCTTGGATGTGGAATTCTCAAGACTGCTTTTGGGGAAATGTTGGCAGAGTACTAAAAGGAATGCTTCCCAGTACAAGGCCTGGGCTTCACAGTGGTGTCTTCTGCCCTTTTTTCTACAGCTGAGCTGACGGCTGCACACTTTGGAGGCGGCAGCAGACTCCATGTGAAGACTTCTCAACAGGAGGGCGAGGAGCGGGGAAAACCAAAGTCACGGAAAGAACTCATTGAAGAGCTCATTGCAAAGTCAAAACAGGAGAAGGTGGGTTAGTTAGTATTCTCTGTCAGAAGATGTGCTCACCAAAGTATGTTTGAGCTTTCTTCCTTATATATTTTGGGCCTGCACTTAATATTTTATATTACTTCAACATAAGACTCATTTTGAACAGAAGCATTTTAAATCTCATCAAGAGCATGCCTCCTATGGGTTTTTGTTGTTCTGGTGGATTCTAGTAGTTGAACCCACCAACTCTGTGTATCTTAGAGTTTACGCTGTTTCTCATTGACTTGTTATGGCCTGCTGAGAGGGTCTAGTGAACCGTTTACAGCAGGAAATTACTTCTGTCTAATAAGATTTTGTAACTTTGCTTTTAAGGTCCTCATTTCTCTTGGTCTCTTTTTTCTGTGGTGCTGAGCACAGGTGGTTACTGTGCATGTCCTGGGCGGGGAGGTCAGCAGTGATGTGTGTGGTATGTCCTGTGTCTCTGCAGAGGGACAGACAGACTCAGCGGGAAGATGCCCTAGAACTCACGGAGAAGCTAGACCAGGACTGGAAGGAAATCCAGGCTCTGCTGTCACACAAAACCCCCAAGTCAGAGAGCAGAGACAAAAAGGAGAAGCCCAAGGTAGGAGTGGGATGACTGAAACCCTGAACTTCATCTGGACCCTTCTGTGGAGAAAAGGCTGCAGCTGGGAATCTCTTCTGGCCTTTTCTTGTTAGGACAGCGTTTCTCTTGGGTGTTGATGTGGAATTGCCTGAGGAGGTACGATGTTGGGGTGGGAGTGGGTCCAAAATTACTTCAAAGTGGTATATCCAGGGATAGGTGGTACTTTGGGGTGGAGGCTTTAGGTGTTTGAACTTTCTGTAATATATTTGCTTATTGATGTATGTATATTTCATATACATTTATTTATTTTTCCTTTATACTATATTTTATTCCTGCATCATTTTTTTTAATCTAAATTGTTGAGAAATGTTGCATTTGCTTAAGTTAGCTGGATTTTGGGGGGAAAATCTAGGATTTCACCAGATGACACTGTCACTTGGCCATCTGGGCATCTCTGATTTCCTCTTACTGCTGCTGTTGCGGCTTAGGGTTTAATGCTTAGATGACCAGTTGTTTTTGTTAAAGCAGATATATTCTGAGGAGAATTTTCTAGGAGTAAAAGAACTTCTGTGTGATGAAGTGTCCACTGAGTTCCCAGTCCTTTCTCTCTAGAAGAAAAAACGTAGGTGTGGCCTAGCTTCTTCCTTAGCAGCGTCCAGCTTTGTAAGAGTAGATAATTTCCCCTTTCCACTTTAGCCCGATGCATATGACATGATGGTTCGTGAGCTTGGCTTTGAAATGAAGGCTCAACCCTCTAACAGGATGAGAACAGAAGAGGAGCTGGCACATGAGGAGCAAGAGCGGCTCCAGAGGCTGGAGGTAGGGGGGCCAGTGCCTGCCCAGGGGGACAGCTGGGGGACTGTTTGACCCCAAGTGCATCATGGGCCTCTTCCTGCCCGCTGTGTGTTTGCGGATGGCGGGGATGGTGGGTGGCTTGCTCAGGTGTCTTTTTTCTCATTTATCATCGGGTGATAAATGAGAGTCAGGTTGGCCAGCAGAATTCGCTACAAAGACTGAGCATAACACGTTTTCCTCCCTAGTGAATGGAGAGTATTTCTGCCACAAAGTTTGTTGCAGTATGTTTTGTTCAGTAAGAAAGTCTTCCTGGTGATGTTTGCCAAGTGTTTTCAATTGAGGCCCACAAGCAGAAGCAAGCCAGGCACCAGTGTCAGAACTGAGAGGATGGTGGGCTGGGACGTGGGCCCACTGGCTGCCCAGGGAACACAGATGTGACTTCTCTTTCCTTCCTATTCAGGCTGAAAGACTGCGGAGGATGTTAGGAAAAGATGAGGATGAAAATACCAAGAAACCAAAACATATTTCAGCAGATGATTTAAACGATGGCTTTGTACTAGATAAAGATGATAGACGTTTGCTTTCTTACAAAGTAAGACGTTTGGCTTTGTTTTCTTTTCTTTTTTTTTTTTTTTACTTTAAAAGCATATTTTCTGGTATTCATGCAGGGGTTTAACCAGTGTCTGTAAACTTGTGTCTCCGGGTGTTTGCAGTATTTCAGGTAACAACCTTCACAGAGCACCTGTAACGGTGGTGCCTCCACCTCAGCAGAAGGAGCTCAGATGACAGAATTAGACTCTTCCTGCTGCTTACCCAGCTGTCAGTGTCAGCTGCTTTTGTTTTTGTCTGCAAGATTACATCTGCATGACCCCAGCACAGTACTGAGGAGGTTAAGGTTAAAGTTCTGAGTATTTCTGAATGACATAATTGGGTTTCTGAGACTGGCTGTCTTGTTTCTGAACAGTGCAGTGGCACAATCAGAGCTCATGGCAACCTCCAGAGCCTGGGCTGGTCTTCCTGACTCAGCCTCTCAAAGCAGTACAGGCATGTGACACCACATCTGGCTAATTTTTTTAAAAATGCTGCTTTTGTTAGACATGAGGTCCTATTGTGTTGTCCAGGCTGCTCTTGCATTCCTGACCTCAAGCAGTCCTCTCACCTCAGCCTCCCAGAGTGCTGGGATTATAGGCGTGAGCCACTGCACCTAGCTCTGGTACATTTTTAAATTGTGAATCTTAAAAGATCTGTACCTTCACCTGGTAGAGTGTATCATTGGGGTTCAGGGAAGGAAGGCAGGCCGGGGTTTGAGCAGAAAGCTACATACAACAAAAACACTGGGTTATCTGCCTCCTGGTGCAGCCCCCAAACCAGTGGTGGGTGCTGTGGATACTGCTGCTGTGACCCACATGCCTTCCAAGTCTCAGACCTGTGTTGCCTGCTGGTGAAGCTTCTCCTAAGCTCAGTGTCCTGGCAGCAGGGCTATCTGTGAGCCTCTGGCTCCTATGGCTCTAGGGATGCCCTGGAAGGGGCAGAGCATCCAGCAGGTGGGAGCATCAGCGCTATGGGCACAGGATCCTGGCACAGGTACGGGACCTGTGTGGTGACATTCTAGGGCTATCATGCTCTTTTTTTTTTTTTTAATTGAATCATAACTTTTTACATTGATGCATTTATGGTGTTCAGGGTACTGCTTTGATATACAATGTGAAATGCTTGCATTGAACTAAGTAACACATCCATCACAATTATACTCATTTCTTTTTTTTTATAATTTTTTTTTTGAGACAGAGCCTCAAAAAAAGGCTCTTTCTTTTTTTGTAGAGTGCCGTGGCATTACAGCTCACAGCAACCTCCAACTCCTGGGCTCAAGCGAGTCTCCTGCCTCTGCCTCCCAAGTAGCTGGGACCACAGGCGCCCGCCACAACGCCCGGCCATTTTTTGGTTGCAGCTGTCATTGTTGTTTGGCGGGTCCGGGCTGGGGATTCAAACCCGCCACCTTAGGTGTACATGGCTGGCGCCTTAGCCATTTGAGCTATAGGCGCTGAGCCCTCATTTCTTAATAGTTCTGAAATGTACCACTGCATCATGCACATTAGATGAGGTCCCCCAAATGCTCTCCCTCCTCCCATATCCCCCTCCCCTCTCTCCTCTTCCCTTCTACTTTCTGGACAATAGTGTATGTTTCACCATTCATGTGAATGTGTAAGTGACTATATATTGATTTCCTAGTAGTAGTGAGTACATTGGGTACTTTTTTTCCATTCTTGAGATACTTTACTAAGAAGCATATGTTCCAGCTCCATCCAGGTAAACATAAAAGATATGATGTCTCCATCTTTTTATGGCTGCATAGTATTCCATGGTGTACATATACCGCAATTTATTATCCATTCATGGGTTGATGGGCACTTGGGCTGTTTCCATGTCTTGGCTGTTATGAATTGGGCTGCAATAAATATTTGGTGCAAATGTCTTTGTTGTAAAATTATTTTTGATCATCTGGGTATATACCTAGTAGAGGAATTGCAGGATCGAACGATAGGTCTACCTTTAGTTCCTTGAGTGTTCTCCAAACTTCTTTCCAAAAAGGTCATATTAGCTTGCATTCCCACCAGCAGTGTAGAAATGTTCCCTTCTCTCCTCATCCACGCCAACATCTGTAGTTTTAGGATTTTGTGATGTGGGCTAATCTTACTGGAGTTATATTATCTCAAAGTGGTTTTGATTTGCATTTCTCTGATGATTAAGGATAATGAGCATTTTTTCATGTGTTTGTAGGCCATGCACCTGTCTTCATCCGAGAAGTTTCTGTTCAAGTCTCTTGCCCACATAGAAATGGGGTTATTAATTCTTTTCTTATTGATTAGTTTGAGTTCTCTATAGATTCTAGTTATCAGACCTTTGTTGGAAGCATAACCTGCAAAAATCTTCTCCTATTCTGAAGGTTGTCTTGTTTGCTTTACTTACTGTGCTCTTGGCTGTGCAAAAGCTTTTTAGTTTGATCTATCGTGCTCTTTTCCCAGGATGGAAAGATGAATGTCGAGGAAGATGTCCAAGACAAGCAAAGCCAGGAAGCCAGTGGGGATGAGGGTGAGGAGGATGAGGGCGAAGGCTCCAGCGGGGAGGACCTGGAGGAGAGCGATGGCCCAGAGAGCCACTCGGACCTAGAATCTGGTGTAGAGAGTGGGGAAGAAAGTGAGAATCCGAAGAAAGATCATCAGAGTCCTGGGAAAGGATCGAGAACTGGTGGCCAAAGAGCTGGAAAAGCTGCCAGAACAGAGCTGCCCTTCACATTTGCAGGTACAGGAACAGCCAGGTTTTCTTTGGTTTCTCGATGACCTTTGCAACCTGGCCATAGCACACATATTTGTCTCCCTCCCTAGGGCTGCATTTGTAGAGTAGGGACCACGTGTGCACCTCGAGTGTATGGGCATAGTCCTGTGTGTGCCCCTTGCCATGGGTACAGGTTCTGTCCTCCTCCTCAGTGTTGGCTCACCCAGGTCTTTGTGTGTGACCGTGGGGACGGTCCTGTGGGTCAGTATCCAGATGAGGCACCTGTGCCTTGCCTTGGCAGTGACTTCACACTCCTGGGTGCACCGTCAGCCTTGTGTGTTGGCCAGCAGGGCCAGAGAGACAGATGATACTTGTGGGAGGGCTCCCTATGTTTGTCCTGGCCACATAACACCTTAGAGTGGACACAGAGAAAGTTGCCCTGAAATGTCCTGTGACTGAAGGTTGTTTCTAGATAGGATAAAGCATGCCTCTGGGGATGTACTTCCTGTGGGTGAGAGTCTCAGAAGGTAGTGTTGCTTAGTCCTGTGGTCCCCAACCCCCAGGCCGTGGACTGGTACCAATCCAGGCCTGTTAGAACCGGGCCTCACAGCAGGAAGTGAACAGGAGGAGTGAAGCTCCATCTGCTTACAGCTACCCCTTTGTTGGCATCACCTGAGCTCCACCTCCTGTCATATTGGTGGCAGCATAGGAGTCTCTGTGAGAATCCATTATAAACTACACATGCAGGGATTGAGCTCAAGGCCCCACTGGGTTCAGGACGTTGGAATGAGTTGTGTAATTATTTCATTATAGGTAAAAAGGTGATAGTAACAAAGTGCACAATAAATGTAATGTGCTTGAATTATCCCCAAACCATCCCCTTCTCCTCCTAGTCTATAAAAAAATTGCCTTCTGTAAAACTGGTCCCTGGTGCCAAGCAATTATGGTTTACACGCAGGTGTCAATTCCAGCCTCTGCCCGCCCACTGCCTTTGTCTTAGCTATATTCCCCTGAGGGCTAGATGCTAATGGTCTCTTTACTCACAACCCCTGGATTAGCCCATTCTAACAGTCTGGGCATGAAAACCAGCAGCTATTTAAGTGGGTTCCTGACAGAGGGAAGGTGGGGACCCCATGGGTCCCCAGGGCTGTTCTGGGCACTGTCCTCTTGGACAGCCCAGTTCAGGCCAATCTGTCTCCTCGGCCCATTGGGATGCAGTTGTGGTGGCTAGGAGATTAACATCTATCTAAAATGTGTGTTAAGGTCTCTACCTTGTTAAAGTAAAAAAACTGACTTACTGACATTGTGTTTGGTTTTTAACCTATGTGAGCAGAAACATAATTCTCAGTGCAGGTGTTAAATGCATGTACTCTGTTTTTACAGCTCCTGAGTCCTGTGAGGAACTGAGATCTTTACTGTCGGGAAGATCGATGGAAGAGCAGCTTTTGGTGGTGGAGAGAATTCAGAAGTGCAACCATCCGAGTCTCGCGGCAGGAAACAAAGCAAAGCTAGAAGTATGCGGTGAACATGCATGCTGAGTACTAGGAGCGTGAGCCTGACCCTAGTCCCTGTGAACGTGGACTTGTCTATAGTGACAAAGTGGGCCTTGGCCTGTCGCTTGATTGTCTGTGTGGTGCCTCAGTGCAAGCAGGCAGAGCCACCCTTGGCATCTCACTCCTCCTTGGCCTGCAGCGGGCACTGGGGCCTTTGTTTCACTGAGGCCTGCAGAGTGGGCTTGGACTTTAGGGAAACAAGTAGCTGTGAATGTGCTTTTTCTCTGTTAGTGAATGTTATGTTTTTACTGTAGATAAGGTAGTCTGGGTGTATTCCTGCTTCTGTTTCCATAACATGTAGTGCCTGTCATTCTATAGAAGGCACACCTGATCCTTAGCTTTTTTTTTTTTTTTTTTTTTTTTTTTTTTTTTTTTTGAGACAGAGTCTCACTCTGTCACCCTGAGTAGAGTGTTGTGGCCTCATAGCTCACAGCAACCTCACACTCTTGGGCTCAAGACATTCGCTTGCCTCAGCCTCCCCAGTAGCTGGAGCTACAGGCATCTGTCACAATGCCTGGATAATTTTTCTATTTTTAATAGCAATGAGGTCTCACTCTTGCTCAGCCTGGTGTCAAACTCTGGAGCTCAAACATCCACTTGCCTCTCCTTCCTAGAGTGCTGGGATCACAGGCGTGAGCCTCCACACAGGCCTCTTACCTTTTCTGTGCATTGCCTGCTGTTGGACAGGCTCAAGCAATGTCTTTGGTTATGCTGTGGAATTCTCATGCCAGGGTCCTCTACCCACCTGGTTTTCCCAGAGCATAGTGACACAAGAGTTAGATGCTATGGTTTTGCTCTTGGTGCTAAACACTGAGCTTTCTCCACCTCATGTCCCTGCAGAAACTATTTGGCTTTCTTTTGGAATATGTCGGCGATTTGGCTACAAATGATCCTCCAGACCTCAGAGTAATCGATAAGCTGGTTGTGTAAGTGAAAGTAGCATGTTATCTGGAGGGGGGAGCTGAACAATTTTTGTCCTGTTTAGAATTATAAGCATGCTTTCTACAGTTATTAGTAAGGTAGACAAAATGAGACATCAGCAGGCCAGATGCATGGACTCCCCTCAGGGCTGTGGAGAGGCCTCATAGCTAGGCCCACTGCGGGAATTTGATGACAACGTCTTGCTTTTACCATTTGCTGCACTGGTCACTTTTAACCACAAACAAGTTGATGTTAGGACAGTTCAACCCGTTCACACCCAGACTGCAGGCCCCAGGATGAGTCGGCTGCTAAGCAGGACAGGCAGCAGCAGCAAAAACACCCGGCGGGCCAGATAAATGTCCTATTCGGGCCATAGTTTGAGGATGCCTGGTGTAGACTATTACAGATACTACTAGAAAAATTATCTGAGGCCCACGGAGGCCAGCCAGGTTGTAAGAGGAAAAGTGGATTCGTCCAGGGGCTACCAGTTGTAATTTGCTTAGACGCAGGTGACTTCGTGGGAAAGTGGTTACAGAGGTTTTTTCTTGTATTTTTTGTGACATAGAATCACGCTCTCCTGACTTACATTTCTGCTTAACAGGCAGTTATATAATCTTTGCCAGATGTTTCCTGAATCTGCAAGTGACTCTATGAAATTTGTCCTCCGAGATGCTATGCATGAGATGGAAGAAATGATTGAGACCAAGGGCCGGGCCGTGTTGCCAGGGCTAGACCTGGTAAGCAGAGGCGGGTTCAGTCCAGTCTCTCCCACGGCCAGCACAGGTCAGGCTCTGTTCAGAACAGAGGGCTGATGGGGACAGTGCACGTGGCTGGGAAAGGTTGGCAGTGATCTGGACAGAGGACTGCAGTGTCCAGACCTACCAGCAGCGCGTGTGTAGCTGTGGGATTCTGGCTGGATTCACACGTGGTGTGGCATTTGGTCAGATGCAGCAGAGGCACTGGCTTGTCCCTCAGGCCCAGGCCTGTGGCTGGCTGCTCTGTTATCCTTGGTTTTTCTGTTTCTTCAAAGGTTGAGAGACATTTGGACTGCTCTGAGACTTTTTTTTTTTTTTTTTTGAGACAAGAGTCTCAGTGTGTTGCCCTCAGTAGAGTGCCGTGGCATCACAGCCCACAGCAACTTCAAACTCTTGGGCTTAAGCAGTTCTCTTGCCTCAGCCTCCCAAGTAGCTGGGACTACAGGTGCCCATGACAACACTAGGCTATTTTTTGTTGCAGTTGTTACTGTTGTTTGGCAGGCCTGGGCCAGGTTCGAACCTGACAACCCAGGTGTATGTGGCTAGCACCCTAGCCACTGAGCTATTGGCGCCAAGCCTACTCTGAAACTTTTAATGTATTTTTTCCACCCCAAGATAATTCTACTTTATTTTCTACACTCTCATGTTCTTCTCATTTTTGTCACTTAGGCCTGACGCTAACTCTGAAATTAGGAAGCTAAACTGAACAGGGTAGGGGAAGCCTCTTGGTAGCCACAGTAACAGGGGGACCAAAACTCCTTGAAGGCACGTCACATCCCCAGCCACCTGCCCATCCCCTTCATCTGTTTTATAGCAGCCTCCTAGTGGTGAGAGGCCCTGTCCTGCAGGGAGTGGCTCAGGGTCACTGTGAAGACCTAGTGTCCAAGGCTGCCCCACCATCGTCACCAGGACCTTTACTATTGGTTTCACCTCTGAGCCCTTTTTAAAGGTATTATTTTGAATTTTATTTTACATTTTTAATCTGTATATTACTTTCTTTCTAGCTCATTTATTTGAAAATTGTGGGGCTGCTATTTCCAACATCGGACTTCTGGCACCCAGTTGTCACCCCTGCCCTGGTGTGCATGAGCCAGCTGCTTACTAAGGTGAGTCCATCTCAGCCCGCCTCAAGAGTGTCTCACTTTAAGGGTCAGGGAGATGGGACTCCTGAGGTTAAGCATAAGAAGGCATATCCACAGGCCCTGTGGAGGGTTAGGGTCAGAAAGCCTGGGCCATAAGCCAGAGTGCCCAGCTTGAACAGCCCCAGGCAGGATGAGGGGGACTGATTAAAGAGAGTGACCCCAGAAAACAGCCTTTAAGTTAGTGGTGAAGGTCAAGTATGATACAGGCTTTTGTTTCCCTTCTGGCTTAATAAAGTTTACAAGTTTCTTTTCCTTTTGTGGGCATGGGATGGGTGTGTGCTCACGCGGGATCTCCCATCTGAGGGAGAACTTCACAGTCTTTGCATATGGGAGGCCCTTTATCTTTCCGGGTTCACTTGATCCCTCAGCATCGCTGTGAGGTCCAGGTGAAGCTCAGTGGGTACCCAGTTTGGGAACATTCCAGAACATCATTCCAGAGCAGAGACTGAGACCCGTGTCCCTTTCCAGTGCCCTGTCCTGTCCCTCCAAGATGTGGTGAAAGGCCTGTTTGTGTGCTGCTTGTTCCTGGAGTTTGTGTCCTTGTCTCAGAGGTTCATACCCGAGCTCATGAACTATCTCCTTGGGATTCTTTACATAGGAATTCCGAACAAACAAAGCCCAGGTGAGTCTATGAGGAGCTGGTTTCAAATATTTTGTACTTTAGAATTTTTTAAAAGTGATTTGTGGCTCGGCGCCTGTGGCCCAAGCGGCTAAGGCCGCCAGCCACGTACACCTAAGGTGGCGGGTTCGAATCCCCAGCCCGGGCCCGCCAAACAACAATGATGGCTGCAACCAAAATGGCCGAGCGTTGTGGCGGGTGCCTGTGGTCCCAGCTACTTGGGAGGCGGAGGCAGGAGACTCGCTTGAGCCCAGGAGTTGGAGGTTGCTGTGAGCTGTGATGCCACAGCACTCTACCCAGGGGATAGCTTGAGGCTCTGTCTCAAAAAAAAAAAAAAAAAAAAAGTGATTTGTGTTCATTGTAGGAAGTTTAGAATAGGGAAAAGTAGAGAAGAGGCACGAATCCCTTGGGGTGGGACAGGCAGACCCTCCTCATCCCCTCCTGCACAGGCCGCTCCCTTGGCCTCATGTGCTCTCATCAGCCATGCTGGTTTAATCTCTGCTGACGCCCACCCTCAGAGAGGCTGTCTCTGACCAGCTCAAGCCCTGTCCACTGCCTGCCTCCACCACCCATCTGCTTTCTTGTGCTCTGTTGGGTTTGTTTCCATGGGTGCATCTCACTGCCTTGTCCCCTCCAAGGGCCTGAACTTCAGTTTGTTCTTGGATGGGGCCTATGCACCCACAGCCACATGTGGTATGTAGTCAGCCCACAGGAAGTTGTGTGGCAAGCCCCCCTCCCAGGCAGGGTCAGGTGCTGGGCAGTGACCACCTCTGCGGGAGCTTCCACCCAGCTCTGTTCCTTTCAAAATCTTCTGTATCTGGAATGCCCCAGGGAGCATGGTGACTGTCAGCACGTGTCTGTGAGGACATGCACCAGCGACATGGGTGCTGCAGCACTGCCTGCGAGCCAACAACGTTCAGGCCTCTCTGTCCCATTGCACTTGGCATTCAGGTTATGCTCTGGTGCGCCCCTTCAGAGCACGTGGGAAGAACTCCCAGTTACTCCTGGTTTCTGAGAGAGAGGACGCAGCCACATGGCAGAGGAGCAGCCTTTCCCTCTGCTGGGCTAGTGGACTGACAGCCCAGACAGCCACGGAGGCAAATCACATCAGGTACATGTGGGGCAGCTCCCAGGGTAGGTGAGGCCCCCTTGCCTTCTTGCAAAAGAAACCACCGAGACTTTTTGATTGGCCAGAATTTCCTTTTTTCCCCTGATCAATTTATTTTATACTAGGTAAAGCCTTTCTGAGGCATACTGCCCTGACAGTGGTTTCTTCCCCTATCCTAAACTATTTTCAAAATATATTTGCTTGATTTCCCAAATAGTGATTTGGAAATTAAAATGAAGCCACCTGTTTCAAGTTGTTCCTATATCTCCCATAGCCTTCCTTCCTGATCAGGGAAGTGTGGTGACACTTCTGTCCAGTGCCCAGTGCTGTGCCCCACAGGCCTCGGTGCTGAGCCGTAGCCTGAGGTGGCTCAAAGTCAGTTATTCAACCTGATGGGGGAGGGGTCATTTTCGCCAGGGTCATTGGTTTGTCAGTGACTGACGCAGCATGAGCTGGGTCCTCCCTGCCTCCTGCCCTCATAGGCTTTCCTGCCTGGCCGTGGGTCTGTCCCTCCTGCAGCGCTGTGTGCGGCTATACGGCACCCTGCCATCTTTCCATGCCATAGCCAGTCCTCTCCACGCCCTCCTGATGGAGCACCTGGCTGACTGCAGCCACCCCCATGAGCTCCAGGTGAGGCTCCCTGTACACTAAGGTGCTCTGTCCAGCTCAGACGTGTCCCTGAGCTAGGACCAGATTAGTTGGCCTTTTTGTTACTAAGGTTGAAAGTCAGGGACACCATCTGTGCAAAGTCCTTGGTGTGAATGGGAAATAAAGTTGTAACAGTGTGGTGACTGCACCCGCTGCAGAGTGCTGCAGCAGAGCCTTGGTCCTGCCTCACCTTGGAGCCATAATGTTGTTGGGCGCCATCTTTGGGGACTGAGTGGAAAGTCTACCAGGGCCTGGACATTTGGCTCTAGGCCACATGAGCACCTGAGCTCTGCAGTCGCCTGATGAGAGTCCTGAGGAGAGGCCTCCTCAGCTACATCCAGACTCCCTGTGTATGTAAAAAACAAGTTCTGCCCTCCAGGCACATCTAGCAGGTGCCTTTAGCCATTCCGGGTCTGCCTGCTTCCCTCCTGCCCTCATGTCAGCATGCAGCTCCCGGTGTTCTTAGAGCAGGAGGTTCCAGTGCTGCCTCCCTGACCCTCACCCCCAGTGGCACCCTGGATTTTTCAGAAAATCCAGACCACTGTCTGCCCTACTGGGATGAGAGCCCTGTGAAGACAGCAGCTCAGCTGTCCTGCTCCTGGTGCATACATAGACCACTCCACTGCCCAAGGAGTCCCTGCACCTGGTCTAGGGATGCAGATGAGATGGAAGCTCCTGCATCCACTTCCCCCACATGAGGCTGTGGCTTGTCTTTCATTTAAGGGACAGAGTGGCTCTCTGGTCATACAGAGTTTGGACTGGCTGAAGAACAACAGGTTCATGGTCTTGGGCAAGTTGGGTTGGCCTTGCCTTTGCACTGAGTCCCCATGGAGAAGAGGCGTTTAGGCTCTTGGAGCTACATCCCAACAGGCTGAGCAGTGGCTGTGCCCAAGGGTACAGGGAGCCAGGTGGCCTGAGTTCTGGGATACCTGTGCATAGGGAATGGGGCAGGACCAACATTAGTGAGCTCATTTCTGGAAGATTCTTCAGAAGCCAGCTCTTATAGAATCTAAGGCCTTAAGTGAATATATGCCTTACCTATCTGGTTCTGGAAGAGAGGAAGATAAGGTCATATCATCCGGACTGGTAAGAGACCCCATTCTGGCCTTGGCTTGCTGCTCCGCACACCCAGACTCTGCGTGCCCATGTCACCATCACAGGGAGGTGTTTCTCCATGTACTTCCACAGAAAGTGAGTCACGATGCATGTCTTGCAAGTTCCTCTGCAGAGAGGGGTTCTGTTTGTTTTCTGGATGCAAGAAGTACAGACTACTATGACTTCTCAATACCAGCATGGACCCTGATTTCTGAGGGTCACAGTGCTCAGAAGGACGCATGCTGTCCTATCCAGAAGATGGCCACTTCCATCACAGCCTGGCCACATCCCTGTAGCCCTTCACTTAACCTCTGGATGAGGAGCAATGGGGACCATGGCTGCAGGAGGTCTGAGGGGACACTGTCCTGCTCTCCTAACGTCTCATGTCAGCTTGTCTCATATTCTAGGAGCTGTGTAGGAGCATTCTGACAGAAATGGGCAACCAGAAGCAGCTCTACCGGCCACTGATCTGTGAGAAGAGCAAGCCTGTCCCGCTGAAGCTGTTCACCCCCCGTCTGGTCAAAGTGTGGGTGTCAGCAGCATCTCTTAGGAAGGGTCCTGCCTGTTGTGCATTTGAGTGAAAGGAGCAGGGTCAGGGGCACACCCTAGTCAGGCCCTGGCTGACTCTTGCCTCTTTAACTTGCCTTCCTGGTTTAGCCTCGAGTTTGGACGGAAACAGGGCAGCAATAAGGAAGAACAAGAAAGGAAGAGGCTGATCCACAAACACAAGCGGGAATTTAAAGGCGCTGTCCGGGAAATCCGAAAGGACAATCAGTTCCTGGCAAGGATGCAGCTCTCAGAGATCATGGAACGGTGAGTGGAACGCACCTGGGGACAGCTGTGGTGTGACTGCAGCACTAGCAGTCCATGCCCAGCACTGGCCCCAGCACCCTCAGCCTTGGCAGGGACTGCTGGCTAGGGCTGAGCGGACTTGTCTCCCTTCGCTTCCCTCCCTTTGTCCTGGGTATGGTAGCTATAGGCCACCTGGTTCTGTGAAAGGGAGAAGACTTCCTCCAAAAGCTAACCCAAGATGGTGTCTGCTTTTTTTGTTTTTTAGGGATGCGGAAAGAAAGCAAAAAGTCAAACAGCTTTTTAACAGCCTGGCTACTCAGGAAGGTGAATGGAAGGCTCTGAAGAGGAAAAAGTTCAAAAAATAAAATTGTTTTGTAAACTAGGCAAGGAACTTTTGTACATTAAAAGTAATATTAAAATATAAAAAGGCCAGGCGTGGTGGCTCATGCCTATAATCCTAGCACTCTGGGAATCCAAGGCGGGTGGATTGTCTGAGCTCATGGTTCAGGACCAGCCTGAGCAAGAGCTAGACCTGTAGGCTCGGCGCCTGTGGCTCAAGTGGCTAAGGCGCCAGCCACATACACCTAAGGTGGCAGGTTCGAATCCAGCCCGGGCCCGCCAA